ATGTTTTGAAGAGATGGTTTTCTAGCTGCGAATTCTTTAACCTTTTGTTTATCGTGGAAGGTTTTAATTTCATCTTCCATCCTGAAGCTTAATTTCACTGGATACACAATTCTTGGTTGGAACCCATTTTCTTTCAGTGTTTGAAATATGTTATTCCAGGATCTTCTAGCTTTCAGAGTCTGTGTTGAAAGATCAGCTGTTATCATGATTGGCTTACCCCTAAATGTAATCTGCTTCCTTTCTCTTGTAGCTTTTAAAATTCTCTCCTTATTCTGTATGTTGGGCATCTTCATTATAATGTGTCTAGGTGTGGATCTCTTATGATTTTGCACATTCGGCGTCCTGTAGGCTTCTAGGATTTGGGATTCTGTCTCATTCTTCAAGTCTGGGAAGTTTTCTCGTATTATTTCATTGAATAGACTGCTCATTCCTTTGGTTTGGAGCTCTGTACCTTCCTGTATCCCAATGACTCTTAAGTTTGGTCTCTTAATGTTATCCCATATTTCTTGGATTTTCTGCTTATGGTTTCTTAACAGTCTTGCTGAGCTGTCTATGTTCTTTTCCAGTTGAAATACTTTGTCTTCATTGTCTGATGTTCTATCTTCTAAGTGTTCTACTCTGCTGGTAGTATTCTCCATTGAGTTTTTAAGTTGGTTTATTGCTTCCTGCATTTCTAGGATTTCTGTTTGTTTGTTTTTTATAACCTCTATCTCCCTGTATAGTTGATCCTTTGCTTCCTGGATTTGTTTGCGTAATTCATTGTCGAAGTGATCTTTCATTGTCTGATTTTGCTGTTTAATGTCTTCCTTGATACTCCAGATCATCTGAAGCATGTATATCCTGAATTCTTTATCTGACATTCCATCTGCTGCAGCTGTTACCTCTTCTAAAGTTGCGTTGACCTGCATTGCTTGTGGTCCTTTCTTTCCTTGTCTTTTCATTCTGCTGGCGTATCTTTCCTGCAGGCGCGGGCGGTGGCTCTGCTCTCTCCTTATTCCAATTGGGGTGTCGTGGCTACCATGCTGGCAGGTCACTGGGCCTGTTCTGGGCCCTGGCGGCGGCTCTGTTCTGCCCCTACTCCAATTGGGGTGACGAGTGTACCACACCAGCAGGCCACCGGGCCTGATCCGCCGGTCGGTTGCAGGTTTGCCTACCCTGCAGGCGCGGGCGGCGGCTCTACTCTGCCCCTACTCCAAATGGGGTGACGTGTCTGTCGTACCGGCAGGCCACTGGGCCTGTCCCGCCAGTCGGTCGCAGATCTGCCCACCTTTCAGGCACGGGTGGAGGCTCTGCTCTGCCCCTACTCCAATTGGGGTGTTGTGACTACCCCGCCTGCAGGACGCTGGGCCTGTTTCTGGCACGGGTGGCGACTCTGCTCTGCCCCTACTCCAATTAGGGTGGTGTGTGTACCACGCCGGCAGGCTCCTGGGCCTGATCCACCTGTCTGTTGCAGGTCTGCCTACCTTGGAGGTGCGGGCGGCGGATCTGCCCTGCCCCTCCTACCACGCCTGGGGACACCTGGGCCTGATCTGCAGGTTGGTCACAGGTCTGCTCACCCTGCGGGCACGGGTGGCGGTTCCGCTCCGCCCCCACTCCAATTGGGGTCACGTGACCACCACACCGGCAGGGCCTGTTCCGGGCGTGGGACAATGATCTGCTCTGCCCCTACTCCAGTTGGGGTGACGTGTGTACCACACTGGCAGGCCACTGGGCCTGACCCACCAGGCTGTCACAGGTCTGTTTACCTTGCAAGCGTGAACGGCGGCTCTGCCCTGCCCCTCCTACCACGCCCATGTACCACTGGGTCGCGGGTCTGCCCACCTTGCGGGTGCGGGTGGCGGCTCCACTCCGCCCCCTCTCCAATTGGGGTCACGCGGTCACCACGCTGGCGAGCCGCTGGGCCTGCTCCGGGCGCTGGTGGTGGCCCGGCTCCTCCCCTCTGGCTCAACGACGAATTGAGGAGACTCGGGTGTCTGTGCCTCACCCCCCCTACCAGGAGACCAACTGTTTATGTCGCCGCTGGTTTTGATGAAGTTCTCTCCTCCGCCGCTTTCTGATGACATCAGATCTCTGCCATGTTGGTATCCTATGCGAATGGCAGCATTTCGTTCCCCTTGCCAGGCAACCAAAGCAACGGGTGAGTCCTGACTGGCCCTCAGCAGGACCCGGACCGAGAAGCAGTTTCCGCGGGCTCCTAGCCCCGGGCCAGGGAAGTTCCGGGAGCCGGAACTCGGCCGCTCCGTGCTCAGTGTAAGCTCCTATAAGTGTAGGCTCCATAACAGTTGCATTTTAACAGAAGGAAAGCAAGATCAAGAAAGAACTTTGTATACTAAAAGTTAATAGAGAAAATGGATGGAGTGGGCAGGGTTGGTAGCAATTATACAGTCCATTTTTACTTGCATCCCAAAGCACATTCAATCTTCTCAATACATCATGTAACCAAGATTATTTTGAAACTTGAGAGTTAATATCAGGACTAAACCATATATTAATTAGTCAGTGATATGTTAAGACATTATTTAAATAAAGCTATATACTGTGTATGTTGCTTTAAATTTTACAAACTCTTGCTTCATTTTATTCATCTATATATCCATGGTAACTGGTGCATAATATATTTCAGCAAATGTGTCTTGAATGAATATAAAGCACTTTTCACACATTATTCTATTTATTTTATAATAACCCTGTGAAGTAGTTAATATTACCATTTTCCTTGTTTTTCAGAAAAGTTAGTCTGATTGACACAAAGAGTTGTTCAAGGTCACCCAGGGAGACAGTAGCAAGAAAGAACTTGAACATACTATGTTTTCTAACTTCAAAAGCTCTATTCTTTCCATTATACTTTGTAGCTTCTCTCTGGAGAGACTATGACTTGACCTGTAAAACACTGGAGTGCACAACCAAAATCTGTAAAATCAGCCTTACTTGTCATTCTAGAATTTCCGTGTATAATAAAATCCCCATATTTTTAATTGTCTTGTCTCACACAATCTATTCATAATATTTAATATGCCTCTTTTTGTTCTGTGGTTTTATCCTGTTCTATTGATTTTCCCAACAAAGCCCTAAGGAACAGGTGTGATAAAAACAGGAAGAAGTTGTTTTTGTAATTATGATCTGGATGAAAAGACTTATCTCTAGAAATGTAGTAGGCAAGCATTAAGGATTTATACCAAATTAGATCTTTTGTCACTCCATCAAAAGAAACATGAACTCTGGTACATATTATTTTAATGTGTGAAAAAATATTTGATATAATACTTTTGTTTCCCATTGTAACACAAATACAGAAAACCCACTCTTTTTCATGAAGGTCATTATTTCTAATTTAAGAAATTATTATAGGGTCCAAAAATATACAGTAAGTTCTTAATGAATATAAGACATCTGTTCAAAGATCATTTTATATCATAAAAGAAGTCAAATTGTGTAAGACTTGAGGACGTCACCATATAGAAGAATAGGGTTTCTATTTATACTAATACAATATGTAGAAGGAAGTTGAGTGGAAATAATACTTTCTGTGAAACTAGTTTGCAATTAGAATTGCAGAATTTTGGGTCACAGTAAAGAATGAATTGTGAAATAATCATTGTATCTGTTAGGGTCGGGCAAACGTCAGAGGAAAGGACCACCAAGAGACTGTCTCATGCAAAAGCAAAGGGGTTTATTGGGCCAGCATGCTGGGGCTCAGAGTTCTCCTGAGAGAAGCTGGAGCCCTGAGCACCGCTTAAGCAGAGTTTTTATGCAGTGTTTAAACAGGGAAGTTCATATGGCAGTTAGGGTGCGAGGGTGGGATTGTTACAAAATAACCATTACAGAATAATCATGCATTTTGTCAGGGGGTGTTGGGTCAGGGTACATTTTGACATAAGTAACTGTTTTTAACATAAGTTTCGGGTTCCAGGAAAACAGAACTTAAACTCACAGAAAAGCAAAACTTAAACTTAACAGGAGAGCAAAACTTAAATTTAACCTTTACATTCCCCACTTCTTTTTCTGAGTACTTCTAATCTTAGAAGTGACAGATTATTGAGGGGTATCACACTTTGTGTCTGCTAAAGGGACATACTGTTGTCTTATTACCATAAGTTTAACTTGTCCAATTTGAGCTTGGAGAAAGGAGACCACACGGTTGAGTAAACAGGGTCCCACAGTTAACAATAACATGAGGATTATTAAAGGACCAGCTAGGGCTGATAAGAGTGTAGTTAGCCAGGGGGATTGTGTGAACCAAGACTCAAACCATCCTTTTTGAGCCTCTCTTTCTCGTTGTCGCTCCTCAAGGCGTTTTCTTAATTTAGTCATTGATTCTTTGACTACCCCACTATGATCAGCATAGAAGCAACATTCCTCCCTTAGGGCAGCACAGAGTCCCCCTTCCCTCATGAAGAGGAGGTCTAACCCTCGTCTATTTTGTAAAACAACTTCAGAGAGAGAGGTTAGGGACTCTTGTAAGGCTGTGATGGAGGTTTCTAATGTTTTTAAGTCCTGATCTATTGCTGCTTGTAATTGGGCCATTTGTTGAGACCCATGGACCAGGGCAACGGTTCCTGTACCCACTCCTGTAGCAACTCCTATTCCTAATAATATGGCTAAAGTGAGGGACACAGGTTCCCGGCGGAATTGGGTGGTATATCCCCTTATTTGATCTTCCAATGTATTTGTATCATGATAGAGCACTCTGGGAAATATTTGTAGCATTACACAATAATTTACAGAGTTGTTAAATATCTGGGCTGAAATGCAAGGAGTTAACCCTGAGTCACATGCCCACCAGGTTCCTTTTTCATGGACTAGAAAGCCCTGCATAGTGCTGATCTTTTTTATCTGGGTACATAATTGTTGTTTACTTTTGGGCGGGGAACCTAGGCATAAGCCTACCCCGGTTACTTCTGGGAGGGTTAATTTAGGATTTTTACCCCAACTACAGGAGGAACTTTGTATCTCTATTGTATAGGTTCCATTAGTTGCTATTCCTTCATAATAGGGGGGGGGGCAGCGGAAAGGCAGAGCCAGCAAGATTGGGTAAGTTCTGGTTGTGTGGAGTTCAATGCCGTATAGGCTCCTTTAATTAATTTCCAGGGGGAGGTGTCGGTTTTACTTGGGATGAGGGAAGTAATCTGGGAAGTATGAGCCGGTGAAGGGGTTTTGGCAAGAGGAGGCGGCCGGGCTGTGGTGGATTTAAGTATTGGGGGTTTTATAGTTTTTGGAGACCAAGAATGGAGTCTTATCCTATGGGGATTGGGTCTTATGATTGAAACTGGCTTGGGGGAATTAGGTCCTATGGCTGAGAGAATTTCCCTTTTGAGCCAGATAGTGAACCAGAGGCCAAAATCATTTCCTGGGGCATAAAATCGCATTCCCCAAGTGGTTCCTGAAAGCCATGTTAGAATATTTTGTTTTCCTTGGGGAGTGATGGTTATATTTAGGGGGTTGCACAAGCTATTATTTCCGCAAGGGGTATTTTTAACTGTTCTGGGATCACAGTTGTAATTAGTTGGTTTCCAGGTATGGTTTCGTTCTACCCGGATCAAGCTGTTAGGGGAGTTTGATTTCCACCAGACAGTCCCTGTTTGTTCACATCCCCATGATTTACAATAAAAGTCATTTATTCCTCCGCATAACCGTGTCTGTTTGCGGCTTCTGTAGTTTGAGGGACAGACATAGAAGTCTAATCCGGCTAGCTCACATCTAACTGGGGGGCCACTGCAACCATGGAGTTTATCATAAAAAGGGGATCCTGATCGGCTGGGGTATAAAGGGATTTTGGTGGGGTCCTCTACATCAGGAATATCCCAGTAGGAAAGACCTACAGCAAGCTGGCAAATGTCTGGGTGAAGAGATGGCCACCAGGTCCCTAGGGGGGCTGTATTTGAAATAGACCATACTTCTTGTCCAGTGGGATTTATGATCTGCCATCGCTGTTGAACAGGCTGATGGGGGTTAGGATTGCTGGTGGTCAAGGGGAGAGTCCATAGCCCTATCCATACAGCGAATACGCAATTTGAAAGGGTTACCAGTCTTTTCCAGTTTCCAATTGGAGTCCGGAGAGGGTGCAGGCTTGAGATGGGAGGCATGGATCCAAGAAGCAACTCCATCCACTTTCACCGCCATAGGTGTTATGAGTAGCACCTGGTATGGTCCTTTCCAGGGGGGTTCTAGGGATGACACCTGATGTCGTCTCACGTAGACGAAGTCTCCCACTTGATATTGATGTGGGGTTCCTTCGTCTCCGGGCTGATAGGCAGTAGCCAGCTGCTTCCACAGGAATCGCTGGGTTTGTTCAAGAGCCTTAAGTCTGTCAAGCAACGGGGTGTGAAAGGAATCGTTAAGTCTCAGGGTTGGGGTTAGGTCTCTTATTGGAGGAGGGGCACCATAGAGAATTTCATAGGGGGTGAGGTTACACAAAGAGGCGGAGGGGGTATTTCTTGCACGAAACAGTGCATAAGGTAGGAGCATAGTCCAATCTTTTATACCGGTCTCCAAGCTTAATTTTGTTAAGGTCTCTTTAATAGTTCTATTCATCCTTTCTACCTGTCCTGAGCTCTGGGGTCTATAAGCACAATGTAATTTCCAATTAATCCCCAGGGTCCTGGCCAATCCCTGACTTACCTGGGCCATGAACGCCGGTCCATTATCGGACCCTATTACCTTAGGCAGGCCGAATCTCGGGAAGATGTCCTCCAGGATCTTTTTGATTACCATTTGAGCTGTTTCTTTTTTCGTGGGGAAGGCTTCAACCCACCCTGAAAAAGTATCTACAAAAACTAGAAGATACTTAAGTCCATACCTTGCTGGTTTAATTTCAGTAAAGTCTATTTCCCATAATTGTCCTGGTCTGGTTCCTCGTAGGTGTTTCCCTGTAGGAAGCTTGGAGGGGTAAGCATTAACCAATTGACAGACCCGGCAGGCCTTTATTACCCGTTCGGCTATTTCTTTTCGTTGTGTGCTGGTCAGCGGAAATTTCTGCTCTTGATCCTTCAGGAATGCCTGTAGTTTTTTTGAACCAAGGTGAGTTGATGCACATCTTTACCATAGTGTAGGGCTTTTTGAAATTGCAGGCTAGGCCCGGTGGAGTCAAGGAGTTCAGTTTCAGTGTCCTCAGGTGTTAAATTGTCTGGGTACTCAGACGCAGTTGAATCTCCTGACTGTTGTTCCCCCGGTGAGGAAAGTGTTAACATGGTTACTCCTGTCAGAGCTGCCAACTTAGCTTCCTCATCTGCCCTTCTGTTTGCGACTGCCACGGGATCATTTCCCTTTTGGTGCCCTTGGCAGTGCACTATAGCTAGTTCTTTGGGGTTTTGCACTGCTGAGAGAAGGCGGAGAATCTCATCTTTGTTTTTTATTTCTTTTCTGGCCAAGGTTAATAGCCCCCTTTGCTGATAAATAGCCCCATGTATATGGGCGGTAGCAAAAGCATATCGGCTATCAGTATATATGGTGGCCTTTTTGCCTGCTGCTAGTTCTAATGCCTTCGTAAGAGCCATCAGCTCTGCCTTTTGTGCAGATGTCCCTTCCGGGAGACTAGAGGACCAGATGACTTTTGTCCTGCTAACTACTGCTGCCCCAGCTCGCTGCTTACCGTCCTGGAGGAAGCTGCTGCCTTCGGTAAACCATGCGACTTCAGGATGGGGCAGTGGCTGATCTTTTAGATCCTGTTGTATACTGGTCTCTTCTGCCAGTATATGTTGACAGTCATGGATGACAGGCTCTGATGATTCTTCAGGTAGGAGTGTGGCTGGGTTAAGTGGGGCTGGGGGTCCCAGTGTTTTTCTGTCTTTGTCCAGCAACAGGCTCTGATAGTGAGTTATTCTAGAGTTTGATAGCCATCTGTCTGGAGGCTGATGAATGATGTTCTGCAGGGCATGAGGGGCTATAATGGTTAGCTTCTGTCCCAGCGTTAATTTATCAGCATCTTTTATTAGAAGGGCTGCTGCTGCTATAGCTTTTAGGCAATGGGGCCACCCGCTAGCCACTGGATCTAGCCTTTTCGACAGGTAGGCTACAGGTCTCTTCCAGGGCCCTAAAGTCTGAGTGAGCACTCCTCGGGCTATTCCTTTCTTTTCCTCAATGTAAAGAGTAAAGGGCTTTTCTACATCCGGAAGTGCTAGAGCTGGAGCAGATAGCAGCGCCTTTTTAATGTCATCAAAAGCTTGCTGATGTTTGGGGGTCCATTGGAATTGGGTGTCTGCCTTCAACAGTGGGTACAAAGGAGCAGCTAGGGATGCAAACCCAGGAATCCATAATCTACAAAAGCCAGCAGTCCCGAGAAACTCTCTAAGTTGCCTTCTATTAGATGGGGGCGGTATCTGCACAACAGTCTGTTTTCTGGGCCCTGTGAGCCATCTTTTGCCATCTCTAAGGGAATAGCCCAGGAAAATAACTTCTTGCTGGCAGATTTTAGCCTTTTTGGCAGAAGCTCTATATCCAAACCGAGCAAGCTCGGATAATAGTGCTCGTGTTCCAGACTCACAGTTTTCCTTGGTGTCAGCTGCCAGCAGCAGGTCATCCACATATTGATGCAGGGTGACTCCTGGGTGTGTAGTCCTGAAGTTATTGAGGTCCCTGTGGAGGGCTTCATCAAAGAGAGTGGGGGAGTTTTTGAACCCTTGTGGGAGTCTACTCCAGGTTAGTTGGCCAGACGTTCCTGTTTCTGGATCCACCCACTCAAAAGCAAACAGTAGCTGGCTATCTTTATGTAAAGGCAAACAAAAGAAGGCATCTTTTAAGTCCAAGACAGTATACCATTTTCGTTCAGGATTTAGAGTACTAAGCAGATTATATGGATTAGGTACTGTTGGGTGAATGTCCTGTACTCTGTTGTTGACTTCCCTTAAGTCCTGCACAGGACGATAGTCTCCTCCAGGTTTCTTTACTGGCAGTAGGGGAGTGTTCCAGGCCGATTGGCAGGGCCTTAGGACTCCCAGAGCCAAGTATTTTTGAATATGAGGCCTTATTCCATTTTTAGCTTCTTTGCTTAGAGGATATTGTTTAATATTGATTGGGGAGGCAGAGGTTTTTAATTCCACTACTATCGGAGGCTGTTTGACTGCTAAACCTAGTCCAGCAGTTTCTGCCCAGGCATCGGGGTAATTTATTATCCATTTTTGGGGTAGCTTGCCCGTTTGATCGGTCTTAGAGGGCATGAAGAGTTGATGTTCATCATCTACTGACATAGTTAAAGCTGTGACTATGGGAGTCTTTACTGAAGGGTTCAGAAACTCCACTTGGGGACCATCAGGGTTAAAGTTTATTCTGGCCCGGAGTTTGGTGAGCAGATCTCTGCCCATCAATGGGGCCGGACATTCTGGGATTACCAAGAAAGAGTGGTGAACTTTACCCTTCCCCAAGTCCATAGTCCTCTTAGTTGTCCAAGCCCGATATTTACTGCCATTAGCCCCTTGAACTAGTGACCTCTTGTTTGATAAGGGGCCCAATGGAGTTTTAAGGGCTGAGTATATTGCTCCTGTGTCCAGTTCGAAGTTTACTGGGGTCCCCTCCACTTCAAAAGTTACCCTGAGCTCGGGGAGGGGGTCCGAGCCCTGACTCCCCTAATCATCTTCCAGGGTTAGGATGGCTGGCTGGCGTGACTGTTTCCTTTTAGGGCAATCTCTGGCCCAGTGTCCCTTTTCCTTACAGTAAGCACATTGGTCTGAAGCCAAGGGCAATTTTTGGTGTGGGCCCAGGTACCCTTTTCTGTCTCCTTGCTTTTTAAATTCTAGTCTGTCTGCTGCTGTGACCAGGACCTTTGCCAACATCTTAGTCTGTCTTTTATTCCTTTCATCTTCCTTCTTTTCCCTTTCTTTCTCCCTTCTTTGTTCTTTTTCTTCCTCTGTCTCCCTTTTATAATACACTTTCTCAGCCTCTCTGACTAAATCTCTTAAAGTCATATCTTGTAGTCCATCTAAACGTTGTAGCTTTTTCTTAATATCTAGGGCAGCTTGCCCGATGAAGGCCATTGCAACAGATGCCTTTTGGTCCTCTGCCTGAGGATCAAAAGGAGTATATCTCCTATATGTTTCCATAATTCTCTCTAGAAACATTGAGGGTGACTCATTAGGCCCTTGGATATTCTCTCTTACCTTGGCCAAATTAGTTGGCCGTCTGGCGGCCGCTCAGAGACCCACTATTAGAGTCCGGCGATAAGTGGACAGATGCTCCCTACCTTCGAGGGTGTTGGGATCCCAGTTGGGTCTGTTCAGGGGAAAGGCAGCTTCAATTAGATTGGGAAGTTGGGTTGGTCGTCCATCTGGTCCAAGAATATTTTTCCTGGCTTCCAGGAGGATCCTCTCTCATTCCTCAGTTGTGAAGAGGGTCCCTAGAAGCTGTTGGCAATCGTCCCAAGTAGGCTGGTGTGAAAACATCAGTGATTCTATTAAACCTGTGAGTCGGGTGGGATCTTCAGAAAAAGGGGGATTATTATTTTTCCAGTTATATAGGTCAGAAGAGGAGAAGGGCCAATATTGGTAAACTTGTATTTCTCCCCCTTGCCCATCATCAATCATTGGCCCGTAGGGGCGGAGGGGGAGCATTACTGGAGCATCAGGATTCTTAATTATTCGCCTTCGGCGGGTTCCCCCTGCTGGCCCAATTTCCTCCGATGGAGGAGGAGTTGGGCTTACTGCAAGGGGGTCATCTGGAGCAGTTTCCTCTACCGAAGGGATTGGATCTGCTTCAGGGGAATTGTCTATAGGACGTTGGGAGCTGAGGGGCAAGGGATATGGGGGTGGAGGAGGGGAATCTAGTAAGGTTAGATCCTGAGATTCAGGGAGGATGGAGGGAAGAGGGGGAGGAAGAGGAGAAGGAGCGGAGGGTTTGAGGGACAGAATGGTGGGGGTAGAGGTGGAGGCAGGTACAAGAAAAGGTTTCACCCACGGAGGGGGAGATTCACAGAGGTCCTGCCAAGTGAGAATATATGGCTGTTGATCTGGATGACCATGTGGCCCCGGCTGGAAGACAATATCTCTGACTTTTCGGATTAGAGGGAGGTAGAAGGATCCTTCTGGGGGCCATCTGACTCCGAGAGTGGGCCATTCTGATGTACAGAGAGTCTGCCAGGTCCAGCATTTCACTGAAAAAGAGAGATTCTGGGCCCTTGACTGGACTTTAGTCCAATGATCAAGGGTCAAAGACAGGGGAGTTGAGGTACCTTGTCCCATAACGAGAGAGATGCAAACAGTGAAAGTAATGACACAGACAACAAAGACAAACAATAGACGTCCACCACAAGTTTGAAATAGAAACCAAAACTGAGTAGCCGGCAGAACCTGACAGGCTGGCAACAGAGTCACTGAGTCTGAATCAGTGGCAAAATACACCTGAGCTGAGGGCTTTTCTGTCCCTCGCATCGGGGGCACTTCCGTCCCTTGATTTCCCCGAGTCCACCAAGGCGTCCCCTGGGGACGTGGCCTGTGGCTTCTGGACACGTCTGTCCACCACCGTCGGGGAGAACTTACGCTCTCCGCCAACAGTCACCTTGCCAAGCCCTAAAATTAAAAGTCCTGAGTGATCGCAATGAAGAAAACAAAATCAAAACTAAAAGGAGGTGCCTTACTTACCCCGAGAAATGTCCGTTGGGGTCTTTCGTCCGCCGCTGCCGGATCCCAGACGAGCCCCCAAATGTTAGGGTCGGGCAAACGTCGGAGGAAAGGACCACCAAGAGACTGTCTCATGCAAAAGCAAAGGGGTTTATTGGGCCAGCATGCTGGGGCTCAGAGTTCTCCTGAGAGAAGCTGGAGCCCTGAGCACCACTTAAGCAGAGTTTTTATGCAGTGTTTAAACAGGGAAGTTCATATGGCAGTTAGGGTGCGAGGGTGGGATTGTTACAAAATAACCATTACAGAATAATCATGCGTTTTGTCAGGGGGTGTTGGGTCAGGGTACATTTTGACATAAGTGACTGTTTTTAACATAAGTTTCGGGTTCCAAGAAAACAGAACTTAAACTCACAGAAAAGCAAAACTTAAACTTAACAGGAGAGCAAAACTTAAATTTAACCTTTACATATCTTTCCATTGCTCCTTGAATTTCTACTCCCATCAATGTTTACTTTACCTTCATACTTATCAAAGAGTCAAATAAGCAGTCATCTCTCTCCTTTTGCTTAGGTTTTTATTGCCAAAGGTATCTTGTCATAGTTACTTTAGCATTATAGTTAACACAGATACCACTTTTTGAACTCCCTCCTTTTGCTGGAATTCACCTCCCAGCACCCTTTGGGAATGGCTGCAGAGCCTTTGCTTGATGGCATCTCTTGTGCAGGATATCGTTAGCATGTGATTCATTCTGTTTTGCTTTTTTTAAAAAAAAAATATTTGTTTTAATTAGTTATATATATATGATAGTAGAATGCTTTTATGAACTTCGATATATTATACATAAATGAGGTATAATTTCTCATTTTTGATTGTCCATGTTGTAGAATCAAATCGGTGATGCAGTCATATATGTACATAGGTGATAATGTCTGTTTCATTCTACTATCCTTCCTATCTCCATATCCCCTAACCTAATCTAAAGTAACTCTATTCTCCCCTAGTGCCACTACCATTCTACCTCTTTGTGAATTAGTGTCCACATATCACAGAAAACATTTGGTCTTTGGTCTTTTGGATTGGCTTATTTCACTTAGCATATTATTCTCCAGCTCCATCCATTTACTGGCAAATGCCATAATTTCATTCTTCTTTAAAGCTAAGTAATATTCCATCAAATATATGTATGTACCAGATTTTCTTTATCCATCCATCTATTTAAGGACACCTAGTTTGATTCCATAGTTTAGCCATTATGAATTGAGCTGTTTTTGCTTTCAATGAATACACTTCCACCCTGAATTTCTGCCCATTTATCTGAATTTTATTTTTCTAAGGAAACAAAAACATTTTGCTTTTACTTTCATAGGATGATAAGAAAGAAACATACACGTATTCACGCAAACACACCTGATCCTCATAAAAATACTTGAAATAACACCTCACACTTAGTTAACTTTTATTGAGTATTAACTGTTAGTTTTACTAGCTGTTTTTCATTTATGCATGAAACAAAGTATTCCAAAACTCACATTCTTCTATTGTAAAATGAAGATTCATTCAATCATTCACCCTAGAAATATTACTTACTTTGTTCTGCTCTTTGAAGGAATAAGTGAGGTAACAAGTATTAGGTGCTTAGGACAATGCATCCTGATTCTTAAGCACCAAGTAAATATTAGTTGGAGATTAGGAAGAATAGTAGGGCTCATGGAGAAAAAAAAAATAGAATAACGCTGGGATATGAATTCAGGAGAAAGGATTGTCAGTAGACTGAAACTAAAAAGAGATCCAGGGAATAAATTCAAGAAACAGCAGAGAACAAAGATGGGAGTTTCAGAAGATCATGCAGAAAATGGTTTGTCCCCAGATGGTTGAAGGATCATATATCATACCAAACTTTCCAGCTTTGAGTTGCAACTTGAGACAGAAATCTAGAATGTAACTAAAGGGGAAACTGGGATGAAAGAAAATGAAGATTTATAAGGACAGGGTTGAAATAAATATGGTTAAAATTATCAAAGTACACAAGCAAAAGAAAAAAAACAGAAATTCCAAAAACCTGAAAGATCTGATCAAAATGATATAGGTGGCAGTGGAGATTCAATTCCTGACAGAGAAAAAGATGACCCCAGATGACAACAGAAAGTCTTCCAATCAGGATCCAGGGAGTTTAGGAGAAAAAGTGAAGTCATGTCATCTTTGGACAAACCAGGAACAAAAGCTGACAGCAAATGAGGTCAATAACAGGAAAACCTGCATGTTGCAAGGGCAGAAAGCAGCAGAGGTGCACGTTCCTATATTCTTGGAAACTGAAGCCAGAGAAACTACCTGCTATTGAGAGATCATCCTTGTACTTTCAGTATCAGTAAAAGTGTGGAGCAAGAGACTTGTGAAACAGATGCAGTTGAAGACCACAGCCAGGTCAAAACGAGAAAGGCGGACAGAAGTGTTCATTCAATGCTGCCTGAGATCCTCAGGGTTCACCCGAGCTGCCACCTGGTTCTGATGTCCACTATTGGCCTCATCTCTTTCCCCATCAGCCCTGGAACCTGCTTTAAGAATCCACCTTTTTCTTGATGTTAACAACAAAGCAAATATGGACAGCAGAAAAAGGTGTGTGTGAGCTAGGCATGTGCTGGGAAGCTTGGGAGGAAGGGCCTGTGCAGATTCAAGTATATTTTTAAAAAATAATGAATGAAGCAAGTAGAGAAAGTTAAGGATGTACTCTAGGATGCACCTAGAAAGATTTCCTTATCTAATGGCAATAGCCAAGGATTAGGAAACAACTAATAATGTTGTATATCTGAATTCTGGTACCAGTAGTTCTTTTAAACTTCTATTTCTCACTAGAAATTTATGTAGAATTAGATGCTTAATTACCAAATAAGCATATGACTTCATATAAATAGGAATTCCTAAAATCTCTTGTTCATCAAAAGAACTCTTAATAGCTAATATGTCCAATGATTTTAATTCCTCAATTAACAAAAACAAAGCAATTAAAGAACATAAGTGACTTTCCCATCACAAGAGCACCAATCAAGTCTCTTTATCATGCTGCCATCAAAGGACAGACGTAACATCTGTGATTGAGATTAATTGTATAATAAGTATTAGTTCCCAAATGGTGGTAATAAATTGTGACAGGCATACTTAGAAAAAAATGCCAAATTCTTTCTACCTCAGAAAGCTTTTGGAATGTGTCTATTATAACATGTAAGTATTAACCATGCTATAATTCCATCAAAAGAAAGTTGACTATCACAAAAAAAGAAGCAGTAAAAAGTAGTCACCTTATTTTTTTTTTCTTATTCAAATACTACTCGATCACAGGAAAAGTAAAGCACACATAATATGAATTTGGGGTATAAAACCCTTCAAATTAATTCAATTAAGTCTCAAGTCCAAGAAAATTCTTCCTTTGCCCTTAAAATGTGGATTCATGTGTGTCACAATCCCACTAACCCACACTAGGTGCCTGAGACGTCTCCTGTCACAGCCCCTCATATGCTAGGGGTATAGGTACATTTTTGGTAGAACATTAGTAGATATGTCTGATAGACACCTAGGGGTTCCATTTTAGAAGCAGGAGTGCAAATCGATGAAAATCATTGAAAAACATTGTCACTCTCTTTGTCTTCACATTTCTGTTCTCCTTCTGAGTTTGAAGATTTTGAAAACCTGAAGGTCCATATGTATGGGCTAAGCCTAAGAGAGCACAGCACTGGGAGCTCTAGGTCTGCATGGAACATAGGAAAAAAAAAAAAAGCAGAAAAGAATGCTCTTGGCCTTTGTGTGGCCCAAGTTGCTGCAAAGGAAAAGTAAACCTCTAGGTGTTCAGGGCCAAACACCAGGTTCTTATGGAATCCCAGAGAAATATGTCTTACCTGATACCTGTAGACAAGAATCTAGGGATTCAGGGGTCTAAGAAATTGCCGTTTCCATCAGAGACATGAGTTCTCTGGAAACGCAACTGTCAATATTTATGTTTTAGTTCTGACTTTATTTCTGTGACTCCAAATAGAAAATTTTTCCAAATTACCCTGATCCTATGATTGTTGCTTAAGATAACGTTTTGTGAATGGTAACAATGGTGGCATTACTCTGTCTTCAAGTTTTAGCCCACAAAGTGATGCCCTTTGGGTTGCAGGAGTCATATAAAACCAAACACAGTAATGCCTTTTACAATATAATTTTAATTTCCTTTGATCTTCAGAGGGAAAACCATTGCTATGAGAGTCAGAGAATAAGGCAATAGACTTGAAAACTTTTATTTTTGCTTATTTTCAAGTAAAAGAATAAGAGCAGCAGAGTTTCCCTCCAACGGCACTGTGATTTGGCTCCATGCAGACTCATTTCACGCTGGGTTTCTGACAGTTTGACAGATTCTATATCTTGCTTGAAAATCTGAGCCTGTGGAGAACCTTTTGATGGCATAGTTAAATTCTTTCTCTGGGGAACATCATTCCTTTCAAGGCAGCTCCTAACATAGGTGTATTTGTATTATAGATGTTTCTGCAGGTGAACTGAACTAGTGGGGCAAACATAAGTTCTAAGGAGGCCTCCAGAAGGTAGTAGGACCCCTGGCACTTAGAGCCAGAGCAGAGGTGGGTGACATTCAAAAGAGGAATAAGCCCCTGTGAAGGCAGATGATACAGGGGGCAATGCCACTGTAATTCAGCCAGTAATATCACACATGCCAAAGAAAGCTTGCCCAATATCTATTAGGGTGAAGCATACATTTTCTAGAAAATTCTAGACAGTGAAGTCTAGAATTTTTTTTTTTAATAATGTGTCCTTCTATGGGAATAGAAAAAAGGGGGGGGGCAGAGAACTATGAGATGATCCCTTTTGTCAGTCCTTTTCACACAATGCTAAAATAAATGTTTTGCTTATTTCTCAACCAAACTGCTTTTATTTTTCAACAAAGCATTTGTTTTATCACTCTATGTACAGCAATGTTGGTGCATAGAAGGCATTTACAATGTTAACTACTTAAGAAACACAAAGTAGCATGTGTTATGATTAAAGATAGGTGAGAAAATAAATTATTATTTGATAAATGATATGGAGACAGAACTTGCCATACAAAAATACTGAATTGAATATTTTACTTATGTGAAAATGGATTTTAACAAAATAAAAGTTTAAATGGTATGCCATGGCATTAAAACACCACCAGAAAAAAAAAGTCAAATTTGGTTTTGCAGTTCAGAAAAACTTCAAAGATTTTCTTTGTACGGAAGTGCTGACAGAAACCACATAGAAAAACATAATTTGCATAAAAATAAAAACTAAAGATTAAAAAGTTACCATAATCAGTAAGTAAGAAATTGTAAAGTAAAAGAATCATACATTATCTGTGGAAGATCAAAGATTAATAGCCTCAGTTGGGTGGGGTGATTCCTGCCTGTAAATCCCAGTGGCTAGCCAGGCTAAGGCAGGAGAATCAAGAGTTCAAA